GATGCAAAAGGGCAGAACTGCTTTTGGCCCAGTACAGGCCAGTGCTTGATGAAACACCCACTGGAGCACTTTGCAAAGGTCACCTTTTGGTGAAGAGGCCTGCTTTTCCCAGGGAGAGTGTGTGGAATCATTCTGAAACTGGCTAATTGGGGTTGAGAGCCCCACAACTCTCACCTACTGCTATTCTCTGTTTTTGAGCACTCTGCACATAGCTTTTCTCACAGCCAGTGCCTTCCTCAGGTCTGCTCTTCCCCTTGGCTGGTATTTGAATGCTGCAGACTGATTAATTTCGTTCATTCTATTTATGACATTAAAAATGCAGCCACACACATCCTTGTAGAGGATTCAGGAAATGTCACACAGGTTGCTAAGACCTGCTCAGAATGGACAGTGATGATGTCCCAAGACCTAAGTTCAGTTTTGTTTGCTGCAGAGATTTTTGTGTGTTACAGCATGTCCCTGGATGGGATTTCCATGTAGAAAGTGGTATTAAGAACGACTGACGGTGTCACAAGGATGCTGTTAGAGAAGACAAGCTGAAGGATTTAAAAACTTGCAAAAATCAGAATAACGTTAACTAAATGCACAGAAAAGACAGATCACATCTGCACTTCACATAATTCTCCCTAATGTGGGAACTCCATTGTCTTGCTGTGATGAGAAATGAGATCACCTGTTCTTTTTCATGGAAAGCAGCAGAAGGATGTAACTTTCATAGGGAGACAGACTTCAGGCAGTCCCCAGCTGTGGGCACAATGATGCATCCCGCATCTCTTCCATGCTCCTCCTTCTTTATCCATGTGGAATTGCAGCTGAAACAAAAATTGTGGCAACTTTCACACAACCCTGGTGTTTGCTGAAAATGTGAAAAAATTACGAAAATAGTGTTTTCCCATTTGTCATCCCTGAGTGAGTGAGTGGACAGGAAGTAGGAGGGTGTGAGTTGCACCTGCTGCCAGAAGCAATGTGGGACTGCCTGGAGGCACTCAGGGCAGTTTGACTAAGTTGCAGTGAATCTGTAGTGAGTTTTCAAAGGGAGCAGAGTAGAGGTGAGACTGGAGTGGTGTGACTGGAGCATAGGAGGAACCGGATTGTGGCGCTGTATATGCACAGGAGTGTAGAGAAACATGACGAAGGAGAGAGATTTTGGCTCCTGGAGGAGAAGTAAGCCAAAGCATGGTAGGGGAGTGAAGCAGTGATGCAGTCCTCAGCTTTGCTAGAGTAGTGGAATTGAGTTACAATGCCAACGTCCTGAATGAGAAAAACTAGTAAAAAGAACAAAAGGGTTAAAGCTGGACCCATTCTTGACTGTCAGCACAATCAGTTATTACTCATTAAGTTGAATATAACTCTTCAAGTTTGCCCCCGACCCTTACCCCACTGCACAGTTCCTGCAGGAGAGCTGCTCCAGGACACCACTCATCTGCAGCCTCCTCTTGGTTGTAACTCAGACACATTCTTGGATAGTTTATCTTAGTTTATCCTCAGAGAAACAGTTCTTCTTGACGTTTACCTCATTTTTTTTTAGAATGCTGTTGTGCAAATGATCATTTGTTAGGTTATCAGAAAGTGCTATAGGAAAAGAAAATGTTCCCTGTCCCTTTAAAAGCAATAGTTCTGTTGTTTTGCTGATTAAATTGATAATTAAATTAACAATAACAGCATTCAAATCTGTACAGGAGTGCGGGGAGTATCAGGCGCTAAAGTTGTGCTGAGAACTTGGTAGGGGAAGATGAGACATTTCACCCTCTGAAAATGTCAGTTCACAATCTGAAAAACTATCATGGAAAAAAGGCTTTTGAAGAGGAAAATGAGACAGATCATTTTATCATCTGCTGGCTCAGGAGAAGAAAGGAAATAAGTAAAGTGTACGCAGCAGAGATCTTTGAGAACTGAATGTTGAGGAGCAAGTATTTGGTGACACTGTCAGTAATGGGAGTAAGGCAGGGAAAATTGAAGAAGTTTTCTCAGTGAAATCAGCAGAGGAAAAATGACTGCTGGGTAGGTAATTCTAATTCATACTGGGTTCTTTAGGCCATGATTGTAGTGTTTTTGCCTGCTAGTAATGCGAAAGGCAATGTGAACAAGAGTGTCCAAGCAATGTATCCTCAGTGTAGGTGAGCTGCTACTGCATTCAGGAAACAAAGAACAGAAACACATCCAGGGGCACTACCTTTGCTTCCCTATTACCGACATCATGCCAGACTGCAGATCACCTATGCTTTCAATCCCCAACTGCCAGTGCAATTTTCTTGTCATTTCTACTGTCTAATTAAGCCAGTATGCTGCAGAAGCTCATTAACCTTGCATTGTTTTCCCCAATGGAAATAAAAGCAGTTTGCTTGCTGTTTTCTTTTTCCACCCATATCTGTCTATGTATATTTAGATTTCAGATTTAGAACTGAGTTGTAACCACTCCTGGAGTGCTGATTCTGTTTTGGCAGAAGCTAAGGTACTTAATAGTCCTGGTGATTGATTCTGGGAGGCCAGCTGGATTACTTGGCTGGACACGGACTCTGCTCATGCAGAATCATCAGGGTTTAAATCATGAGAATCAGTGGAGTTCCTTGACTTCAGAAATGCCTGGAGAAAAAAAAATATGAGTTCTTTGAGGAGTTGTTCAGACCCTGTACAACTGCACACAGCTAGATTAGCTATCAGAGTCAGGTGTCCAATCCCCCACAGCAAAGCTCACTTTCTAGAGCCCACATTAAACATACAAGGAAACCAAATCTGCAAATCCCAGCAACTAAATTCGGTGCCAGAGACAGCACCACAAGAAAAGTCCAGTTATGTTGAATCACCTTACTTCACCCCACAAATGTAGCATTATTGCCATACACTTAAAGTCTGTATTAAACCAAAGGCAGTATTCACTTAAAAAAAATCACATTATGATATGTTATGCTATAGGAAATGTGGGATAACTCTGCTTAAATCAGTGGAATGGAATTGAACAGATTTATAGCCTGGCAAAATTTACTCCTAAATGTAAGTGGAACTAATCTATCCACATGGGAGTTGCTAGGAGTATGCCAGACAACTAGATTTATGGAAACAAAGATGGATATTGAAGCAGGTGAATAATGCTTTAACTTCTGATGCAAAAGAACTTTAAAAAATGGATTTATTGTTACAGGAGGACTATTAGTATGTTTTATACCTAAGTCGCTCTTACTTGAAAAGTTCAGGTTTAATTTTAAAGTCTAGTGACCCCTGCCTTCATAGAGCAGAAATTCCTCAGGTTGTGAATTGTCTCTCAATGCGTATGTACAGCCCTGGGCAGACAGAGACCCAAAGCATTAACTCAAACTTCTGAACATTACTGTACTTCAAATAACAAACGTTTTGAAAGAGAGTGTCACTTTTAAACTGCTTTAGTGCAGATGGTCTTTTTCTTAATTCCCAGCCCTGTTGTTAGTGAGCTGAGCTTATTGAACTGCTTGCCAATTCTGTTAAGAGCAGATGGAGTGAAACAGGATAAAGGCAATATTTCAGTGCAGCTCCTAAGCACTGCCCCTCCCAGATGCCATTATTGACATGCATTTTAGAGCTCCACATCTCTCCTCATCAGCAGTCAGAATTATAAAGAGGTTAAGCATACTTGCCTTGAATGTCAGTAATCAATAAGGATGCTCATTTGGCTTAATAAGGATAAATTGTTGCCCTTGAAACAACGTACCATTCCAGCAGTCGAAGTGAACTGAAGTGACTTCCCTGATGTTTATACTAACTCCGGGTGTCTGTGTCAGTGTGTGTGTCTGCTGATGTATGTATGTATGTTGTTTTGCTGTTCTCTGGCTGTTCCCTAGCACTATGGAGTCCTCTTGTGTGTGTCCCATAATAATGTCTTAAATCATTATTTTGAGTGTTCCCCTTTGAAAGCTCATTTCTTCTACTTAGGCTTTTCTTTTAAAGACTTTCATTACAAACTCTCGCTTTCTAAAAAGCTCCCAGTTTCCCCTTATAAAGCCTGCTGACAGAGCATGGTAGGTGATATTTTCGGAAGTTCCTACTGTGTGTGGACCATTGTTGCCTCTAAAGCCTGTGGTTAAATTCAGTCCGACTTTAGTGAGGGCAGATAGACCTCAGTGCAACAGAAGTAAATTAATTGTGAGTACTTAAAGAAATAGTGATCCTACTCCTATGGGAAGCAGCTATTATTTTTAAAGAAAGCATGAATGTTCTGATCATACAGAGATATGTAATATGTAAGCATGGCTAACGTAATGATAAATGGTTCCCTAGAGACTTAATTTTTGATATTTTGATAAACAAAACAGGACATTTAGTCAAATCTTATTTTTTCTCACAGAGCGTTAATACCAACAGTCCTTGCCTATTACCAACAATTCTTGTCTGTTATTATCAGGAGTCCTTGTTTTGGCTCCACAGCCATCCAGCTATCAGTGTTCTAGACATACCACTTTAGCCCCCACTTTGTTGTTTATAGGGTCACAAGAGAGTTGGCTTTAATGATAATAATTTTCCCTCCGGGCTGCAATGAGTCGGCATCTTTCTTTAACGTTCAACAACAAAAACATTATTCCACTTGGGTTGTTATTCAGGCAAGAAAAGCAAGTTTCCAAGGCTGTTCATTAAAAAATAGGTGCTCATTAGATAGCACTAGTTCTTGGGAGCAGACAGTGTTTCTGATAAGCTCAAAACGGGCTTAGTCCAAGTGCTGTTTGTCAAGGCTGAGGCCTAATGAGCATTTCTCAGTGTCCAGTGTATAGTGTGGCCTGGGGAGGGGTGGGCGGGGATCCCATGGCTAAAATCAGCTTCTCTGGGCCTCTGTGAGCACAAGAATGACTCTTTTCTTGTTTAGGAGCTGGGTCTATGTCAGTTCACCTTGAGTAAGTGTGGCCTTACTGTAGAAGTGCAGTGTCCCAAAGCCACATTGCTGTACAGCACTTTCTGTGGGCTGGAACTAGTCACCTGTGTTTTAATGTTTCGCTTGTGTAATTTTTAACCTTCTGTTTTTCTCCCTTTCCTGGCAGATTTTTATTGGTGAGATATCCATGTATTTCATAAAGTCTACCCGAGAAACTCTAATTATTCAAGAGAAAACTATTTTGACTGGAGAATGCTGTTACCTGAACCCACTGCTTCGAAGAATAATACGTTTTATAGGTAAGAATCCTGATCACTGCAAGCTTAGTCCCTGCTTGCACCAAAACAGAACAAAACACACTGATAAATACATAAATACATAATAATTACCTCACAAAATTAATTAAGCTGTGAAATCTTTGCAGGCATCTTCCACCTTAGAGGGATAGTCCCCTCAGGATTTCCAAGGTAATGTTCAAAATTTGCCATATCACGCTGTCTGGAGCTGGTTCATATCGTATTCTGCTGAGCTTAATGCTTTTTCTAGGCCATTGAAGAAAGGTTATATCAATCAAATCCTTATATGAATAATCCCATCATTGCTAGTCTGTGTAAGCTACCCATTTTACTTACAAATTGGTCTTCACCAGATCATCTATTTGGCATTTTTCTTTTCAGCTCTAATTTTAACATCCACAGCCCTGCCACATAATGTTCAGCTGAGCAGTGCAAAAAAACCCAGAGCTCACTTCAAAACACTGTTATTATTTTCATTGTATTTGCTTCTTTTTAGAGCTTTCATGGAGTTAATTGCTGAGAAATGAAGTTCTGTCACTAAACCATTTGGAGGTTGCTTTATATGGTGCTTGAAAACTGCTTTACCTTCTTCACACTGTTGATCAGCAGTCTCAAGTTCATGCATGGAACTGACAGTCTTACCCTGCATTAGGGTTTTCATCATCAGCAAATAAATGGTGCAAAGGAGGAAGAACAATGGTTTTCCTTCTCCCTCTCCTACCTTTGTGCCTCCTGCTTTATACATGGAAGGTAGGGAGGGAAATGTCCCTTCTGCCAATATTAGGGTGGAAGCAAACCACCTATGGTTCTTTAGTCAGGCAGATGGAAATAAAAGACACAGGAATGTAGTTAAAGGTAAAATACCCTTGAACTTCACATAACCTCTGGGATATATTGATGGATAGTGAACTGCTGTTAAGAGAGAAGCAGGATACCAGAGTCCACCGGGCTACTCAGGGCTGTTTTACTGTTCCAGCACATTTGGCATGTTGTAAAGCTCCAATCAAACACTCTTGCCTGTGGGTTCAGCACTGAAAGTACTTAGATCATGAAGGCTAAGCACTTGCTCAGTATGTTTCCTTATTCTTAAACATTCATGCTTTGTTTCTCTTCCAGTGGAAGAGAAAAGGAGTAGCAATGGCACAGTGGATTCTGAGAGTTATAGGATATGAACCATGCTAGAGAAATCAATCTTGGCCTTGCAGCTATGTTTGTTTTCCTGAGAAAAATTAAGTTAATATTATTAGAAATGGCTTAGTCTTTGTCTTGTCTTAAACTACACTGAATTTTTGCTTGTGTTCTTCTGAAACCTTCTCCCTGCCTCTGCAGTGAAATATGTAGAATTTGTTGAAAAATGGGTAAAATAATTTATGAAAGGAGCTGAAAATAACTGCATGCTTTTCATTTTGCATTTCACCTGCATTTTGAAAACATGACATGGACTGAGCAGCTGTACACTGTGCTGGATGATCCAGGGAAGTTAGCTCCCTACAGCTGCTTACTCCAAAAAGAGGCTTCTTGGGTGCTTGGCTCTGCAGAGATGATCAGGTTGCTTATACATGGATTTCTCTGTGTGTGTCTTCTCTTGCTAAACTTGCGGGCCAGAAGTTACGGAGCTGATTAAGTAGGTTGTCTTCCAAGATACCCTAGCAAGTAGGGTGCAAAGAAATTTGCTGCCAGTTTAGTTTTGGTACTAATTCATTGACATTCATCTATATCTGGTGATTTCTTTTGCCCAGATGTTTGAGCAAGTCTTGCTGAGCACCTGCAAAAAGTAGCAATTTAACTCCTTGGAATATTGCCTTAGAAGTCATTACAGTTGATATTACTGAAAAGGATGAGAAAAATCCTTCAATGTGTGTAGGTGCTTATGTGTCAGGAAAAATGAACAGTACTGTCTGACCCTACAAGGCACATCGTGGACAACTTTTGAAAGTTGCTGTTCCCGAATTTTAGAAAGGCAAAGAGGCTTTTACTCCCTCTACAACTTGGTAACTGGAGTTGCTGGGAAGAGACGGTGTTTCAAGAAAAGTAGGCTAAATGTGCTTTCCACAAAACAAGCAGGATGTTGTAGATACTTCACTGGACATTCATTTAGATTTTATAAGGAAAGAGAAAGAAGAAGGGAAACTCCAAACTCCCTTTTGGTCCTGTGAAAGACAAGGACCCTTGTCATACTATCTCCATGGGATCTTTTGGGTTTGGTTGCTAGACTTGAGCTTTTCTCCTCTTGCTTTTTCTTCATGTGTACAGAATTAAGCACTTTTTTACACTTTGATAGTGGAGCAAAACAAAAACCCTGCAACTCTTCTGGAATGTTATCAAAGCCCTATGGGGTTTTTTTGTGTTTTTGTCTCTATCTTGCTTATTATGCTCTCTGTTCCTTCTTTCCTTGTTTTCCTCAAGGCCTCTGCAGATGTCCATTTCAAACAGCCTCCCCTCCTGAGTTTAGTGGGGACCTTGAATGTTGAGCTTTGTATTAAATCCCTCTCTCGTTCTTTGTCCACATGAAGCAGAAGCACAGTTTCATCTTGCTTCCTGGCCCAGGCATGAATTCTACATGTATACTTTTGTGGGAAAGGGCTGCCTCTCACCTTGCTGCAGTGTTTGTCAAATGCTGTACTGTGGCCTAAACTGGTGAAACCTGCTATGTTCCCTGTATTTAGAAAATCAGTTTCTTTATCATTGAAAAAAACTGGCTTAGCGTGGAAACATCAGACTTTGATGTATGTTGCAATTTGTTCCATCTTCGCCTTTATCTTTTACAGCTGCTTCCACAGACAATTTTTTTAAAAGATTTTCAGGTCAAACAAATGGTGTGCAATTGCTTTAGAGCATTTTTTTCTGAGATATTGGTGCTACACTGCTTTTCTTTAGTCACATCATTTCTCCTCCTTCCTCTCCCCACCCCTTGGGGCACTTTTATCATCAATTTTTGCTGCCAAAGTTCGCTGTTTGTGTGTGGAACCTTTGAGAAACTAGAGTGCCTGTGTCTTGGGCCTCCGCCTCTTCTACCTCTCCCAGCTTGAGCATTTTTTATTTTTATTCATTCTGTCTTCTTGTAATTTTCCATTCAGTACTTTGTTAACATCATGCCATCTTGCATTTGCTTCCATGTTCTACTTCATAGTTTGTATTACAAATGAAAGTTACAGAATATTTTAGCATTATTTAGTGAGTGGTTTCACTCAAGTTTTTAGTCTGTTTATGTACAGCTGCTATCATACCCCCAGGATCACAGATTCAGACCTCCCTGACTCACTGTGGCAGGTTGACTATAGTACGTATTGTTGCATTTCCTTATATTAGGTTTGTAATCCACATGATTAAGTAGTTTACCTGCAAGGCCCTGATAACATGCAAGTAGCCTCTCTGTAGCTCAGATATGTGAAAATGCAATGTGCCTCATCAGTTTGTTACCAGTGGCTTTTGCTTTGGATGTGCATAATTTGCAGTTAACAAATGGTGCAGATCAGCTTCTGTCGACAACTTAATCTAAAGCATGGTGACCCCTCAGAATGGGTGGCTAAATAATGAAATTAGGGCTTCATTTCAGTAAATTAAGGCTTTAGTTCAGCAAATAGAGACTTACAAGACTTATACACACATTGAGTTTATTGTATTAGGACAGATATACCCCAGAGCTCTGATGTCGATTCCCTGAGCGGCTACAGGACCCAGCTTGCCTGACCTTATCCTTCTACCTGGCTTGGATCTGAAGTTCACTGTGAAACCATGCATATTCTGTTATTATCTGGCTGCCTTTCTGCAGGACTCAAGCTGTGTTTGGGTTTGTTGCCCCTAACCTAAACTGCTCAACAGCTCGAACTACTGGAGGTCTCTTTTCTTATCACTGAAGAACAACCACAATGAGAAACAGGTCACTGTGCTGGGGACAGATCAACCCTTCCTGTTCTCTTTTATGCCAGGCTCTGAGTTGGCAGCTGTCTAGATGAAAACTGGTAGTTGTGAAAGCAGCGAGGAAGGAAGATATCCTGTACATCTCTCAGGAGAAGTCTTGAGGCTCCAAAGTTTTTTGCACTGAGAACTGAATTTCTGCTGATGTGCTCAGACCATGTGTCTTCCTTTTTATATCTGGAGGGAACAGTATCCAGGCAGGACACTCAGAGGTGAAGCAGACCCAAGAGGCAGTAGATGCCTGAAGCTTTGTGAGGTCTTCACTAGGAGATCAAAGCCAATCCCATGATTGGGTGATGAAAGCTCAGAAGGTTGATGTTGAGCCTGTTCCTGGTGCCATGGCAACAGAACAATAAATTTCCCTGCAACCCCCATCTCTGCAGTTGTAAAATGGATTAATGATACAAGTCTCCTTTAACAACACTCTTTAAGATATAATGATGAGTGGTGGTTGCAGAGTCTTAATCACGGGACTATAAATGTATGGCTTTATTGGATGCACAGCATTCTTAGAGCAAAATGTTCAGAGATGGGCTGAGAATCAGCATTTCCATAGAGCCCTGAGTCCTTCCAGGGACACTTTCCACTGAAACTCTAATCTTCTTTAAAAAACATAGGGATAGAAAAGGAATTAGGGCAGTATGAGTGTGCATGTGTAATATGAATATTTTCTAAGCTAATTAGGTTGAGAATGACAAAGTCAGGTAATTGACTGGGCACTGGGAGAGAGGAGTGCCTAAATAAATATCCTTGTTTGAAGATGATAGGTTACCAAAGAGCTCAGCTTCTGATGTCTCATGAGCCCTTCAATGCATTGTTTCTTTTGTCACTTTACTTACGGGTTTCATGGATTTTCTATAATAGGGCCTTCTACCTCCTGATTCTCATTTCCACCCACTGGCTTCTTACTTGTCTTTTCCCTGTGTCATTTCAGCTGCTCTTCTACAAGTTCCAAGGGGTTTTGCTGATGATTTTTTGTAGTTGTTGTGGTGGTGGCGAAGGATTTTTTTTCAAATCAATGGCATTTTAAATGCTTCTAATAGCAAGAGTTTCCATGGAGTCAACTAGCAGCTGCAGTGACTGATGTTAGATAATTCGGGGTGGAAGAAGAGAGCCTGAGCATGAATTGCAGGGAGGAGACAGGGTTGTACTGAATGTGCAAGAAGAGCTGTATTCTTCTTCAGGGCAAGTGCCTCTGTTGGCAAAAGCAATAGAGTTGGAGGTGGCAACACTGATGAACAACCACACAAAGAGCTTAATAGGAGACAGAACATGAGAGTAGCATATGGGTGAGAGTCCAGAAATCATGGGTTCATGGAGGACAGTCATTTAGGAGGATGTGTAAGTAGAGAAATTAAAAATGAAGTATTCAAAACTGAAGCTGCCAGATACTCAGATTCTTCTGCCAAGGCAAGTGTTAGTTCAGGTGAGATGGATCTGGAAAGTCAAGCTTCACGTTGTCCATCCTTGGCATTTTTCAACAGGCTTCTCCTTGTTTCTTCTTCTTTTGATTTGCACATTTAGTTTGTCTAAGGTCCTTGTCACTGGAGGCAAGGACCTCTGGAGGCAAAGACACGTTCAAATCTGATCTTCAGTTCCTTCTTCTTGGACTCTGGAGCAGGGAGTATAGCCTACCCCTCTGTCTCTGGCCTAAACTAGTATCTCTCCCAGTTACATTCTGCTTACTGTTTTGTCTTCTAGCTTCCTCCTCCTGACTGCTCCTGAGACGCATGAACACAGGTGAGGGTCACGTCCTGACAAAAAGCCAGGAAGCCCTTCCAAACATAGCTTCTGCTCCTTCTTTAAGGCCTCTTTTTGCAGCCAGACAATGTGACACATGTGGCTGAGGGCAAAGAGTGGCTTCATGTAAATGCAATTAACCTCCATCCCTTCTGCTAGTAAGCAGCTGTAGGTCTGCTTCCCATGTGGCTTGCACTGTTCCCATTTTTTCGCAGTATATGCTAAATTCTGCACTGAAGTTCATTCCCAGGTTTTCTGGCCCAGAGTGAGCTCAGTGAGATAAATCACTTGCTCCTGATCAGGATGACACCACCTCCTATTACAGCTGAGTGTCAAAGTCTGGAAGAGGTACATGTTGTCCCATTCTCTCTCTCTGGCATTATATCAAGGACTTCAGCTGACCCTGAAGAGCCAGGGCTGGTTGTCTTCCCTGTGAAGCCTTTCAGCAGCAATTTGTCTGCCTCTAAAAACCTGGCACTCACATCACTGTGTTTTTTGTGCTCTAGTCAGTTAGCTGAGCTGCTGCAGGTCATTGAACAAATCTGTTGAACAGATGGATTCCTGAGGTACAAAAACCATTGGGGGACTGTCCGCCCCTGCCCAGGCTTGCTGGTGTTACAACCTTTAAATCAATTACAGTCAACCCTACCTCCAAGTCTCCAGACATGACGGGGAGTGCAATCCACCCTGCAAGGGTGACATTCCTGCCAGCTGAATTCACTGCTGGACGTGGCTGTGGTTCTCATGAAGCACAGTCTGGCAGACCTGTGAGAGAGGAGTTACAGTAATCAATATGCACCACACTCAGAACACGATAAAGGTTTCAGCTGTGGAATGCTCTGCTCTTCTGTGGACTGCTGCAGGCCTCAGCAGCTGACTCGTTGAGTTCTGTGCTACCAAATACTGAGGAAATGCAGGTGTTGAAGCTTTTTTTTTTAATGGAGCAAAACACTGGACCACCTTTGTACCTGTGCATTGCCTAGGGATTTAGATAATTTTGTGAAGCCTGTGAGCTTTTTCTGAAACACCTTGTTTCTTGGCTTGTACTCACTTGATAAATACCGTGGGCCAGACTGCCTGGCACGTAAATTTCCTCTAACTATTGTAAAAGGCTGTGTAATAATCCCCACTGCATTCCTTCTAATTTACATGGCACATCAGAAAGATGCCATTTAAGGCAAGCTGTGCCAAAAAAAAAAAAAATTTTGACAAAGAGCTGCGTATAGAACAAGATTCATCTTTGTTATAACTTCAGCTGTTTCACCAGGCTGAAAAGATACCCTATTACCTTTTTCCTTTGTACTTGATTGTGTACTGACTAATGTAGATGAGAAGTTCCTGCCAGCTGTGGAAAACCGTGGATTTAAAATATTAACACAAGGATAAAAGAAATATCAGAAGTGTCAGTGCTCTCTCCTTTTAAACACAGACACTTAGCAGGATAAACAGGAGGAAAACTGTCACACCATTAAAAAGACAGGGGTCAGTCCTGCAGTCTAGAACCAGAGAAAGGCAGCCTCCTCCTTTGACCACCACTGTTTTGAATCCATGCTCACAAATCAGTTCATTAATAATAAATAAATTCACATAAAGAATACACTCAGCCCCCCCCCCCCAATCATCTTCACTGTGGTGATGCTCCATCCTAACCTTGGGGAAGGATGGGGAGGATGAACAGCTCCACAGTCCTGCAGCCCCCCCCCGGCTGCTTCCTGAGGACAGGGCTCTTTCCATCATTACTCTGTGTTACAGAGACACCACACCATCTCTCTGAATGACTGGCACAGGCAAGCCTCACTCTAACACTCACACAAATCCATTTTAGATACAGTTTTAGTTTATGTTACTGCCTGTACACACTGCATTATCTTGCTGACTCTCTGATATTTTTTGTGTCTCAGACTATAGCTGTCCTATTTTCTTTTTCTATATATAAGTATATATAAGCAGTGAAGGTGTAACAATCATGGTGATGCCAGCTTTTAAGGTTTTACCACAGCTCTCTAGGATGTTTTCCCTGGAGCTCCAGCTCTTGGTCATACTTAAATACATAGCAATCTCAACTAATTTATAATTTAAATTACTTTTGCTTACACAGTTACAGGAGGGAGAAAGCAAAAATAGATGACCCTCAATATTCCCACACCAGAAGCAATTATTTATTTTTTCTACATTTTTGTGACACTTTAATTAACCTTAGCAATGAGAAGGGGAAAAGGAGAGCTGATTTAATCTTTCAGAACATTTGGGTTTGGTATTTCTGCAGATGTGCTGTTCTTTTCCTTTGGTATGTGGGCAGTACATGCATGTGAAAGATCCTCATATATTCATAGCAGCTGCAGCAGGTATTGATAAGGGAGTCAGTGGAGGATGTGACAACTGCAATATTGATCAAGGGATGCTCCACAGCCCAGGAAATATGTTCTAGTGAATGCTTCATGCTGTAGGATTTGTGGTTATGTGCTCCTGGTGACGTGAGCTGAACTGCAACTCTCTGGAAATGTCTTCCAGAGCAAAGCAATGGGTTGCTTCCAAAAGGACATGCCAAATCTTGCTAGATCAGAATCCTAATTTTTCAACATCAAGACAATGAACAGTCAAAATTCAGGAGGTACTTGACACTCGATAGTTATGTTAGGTAAGTGCACTATTGTGTCTCAGCACTACACTGCTCTTTCAGGTTCAGAGATCTCATTTTTTGTCACAGATCTGGTATGAATACATGATATAACTCCTATTATGTCTCCCCCTCTCAGGTATTGTGGTATTTTTTTAAATCTGTTTGAATAATCACTGTTTTTAACTTTTCCTCACAGGAGTGTTTGCGTTTGGACTTTTTGCCACTGACATCTTTGTAAACGCCGGCCAGGTTGTGACTGGGAACTTGGCTCCCTACTTCCTGACGGTGTGTAAACCCAACTACACTGGGAACGACTGCAGGGCACACCACCAGTTCATAAACAACGGCAACATCTGCACTGGGGATGTGGAGGTGATTGAAAAGGCAAGGAGATCCTTTCCATCCAAACATGCTGCTCTGAGCATCTACTCAGCTTTATATGCCACGGTGGGTGCCAGTGATGACTGCAGACTTCTGTGAGAGGTTTCTGTATGTGCATCTAGATGGGCACATTTTTCTTATGATGGATTTTTTGAGAAAAAGAGTGTTGTTTTTGGGGCTGCTTTCTTCTTTATCTGTAGGGGGAAACTGCCTTCTCTCTCTCATTTTACCAATCCTGGTGTAAGCAAATTAACTGCTTATTGTTTTTGAGGCACTGCATATTCCGGAAGTATGAGGTCCTAAACTTGTCTTTACTGCTGGTTTTCTCATTCAAGATCTTCTTCTCCCTGGCCCTCTCTGATAAGCATTAAAATGAAGTTGATCCTTAAATAGCTTCTGGATTGCTACTTTTGCTCACGTGCCTGTTGAACATTTAATATTTAAATTGTGCCACTTCAATGGGAGGCTGAACTTAGGCTGAATTTTGCTGCCCTTGTTTATGACCTGAAGGTCCTAATGAAAGTTAGTGCCAGAATTTTGTTGTTATCACAGGGAATGCACCCCAGTTGACATATTGACAAAGTGACACCACTGTACTGTAAGGAAGGAAACTTATCTGTCTTAAAAGGTTTCATGAGACAGATCGACTGCTCCTTTGTGTTCTCTGGTTAAAGTTTCTGTAATGCTTGAAAATCGATCCAAGAATCTTACTAACAAAGCAGAAAATCTTGTTGGTTTTGCCATTAAGATCGAAGGGCTTGACCTGGTTCTGATCTTAAAATGAATTAACCTGTCTTTTTTCCACCAATAGCCTGACAGAGTAGTGGCAGAGTCTGTCTGTAGGTCATCACTATTTAAGAAAAGTGTTAAAATTACTAATGACAGTGTATTTACTGAATATTTTACCCTGTACTCTGGGTAGTAGATGAATAAAACACCATATTATTACTGTAAGATGAAGAGTCCACCAGCTGCTGTTTCAATATCCATCTATTTACACTGAATATTCTGTGATTAATGATGGAGATATGTTGTGGACGACGGGAAAAGTATCACACGATCCCAGTATTGATCATGACTAATCCAACTTTATTGCTGTAAACTTCGTGCTTATAAAGGTTAATAATTAGCCTCATACATATTCCAAGCATAGGCTCATCATTGGCTTCTAATTACCTAAGGCATATTTATGCAAATGCTGCTTCTTTCTCATGGCTATAGTTACATATTTGTTACTTAGCTACTTTCACTACTTTTCCCATCCTGTTGTTTTATTCTTTCTATCACGTATGCAGTTTCTTAGACAATACAGCTTCACATCAGACAATGCAGCTTCACA